TACCTGATACCTAATAAATATTTCTTTTTTTTCTCCATTCCTAGTAGGTGCTATAAAACTGTCACAAATGCTGCTGGACCTGTAGCACCTGGCCTCTGTGGCATATTTGGTGGGTTCAGAGCTCTTACATTTAAGTGAATCAAGTGGAGGGTAAGCTAGGAGGGAATGATAGAGACTGGGTCACATTGAAGAGTACATAGGCTATTCAATTTCAGCTGACTGTTGCCATGCAAGAGATGACCCCGTGTTGCCAAGTTTTCCAGTATTTCAAGCTAAGTCAAGAATCTGGATGAGATGTTAAATTGGCCAGTTTTTAAAAATACTATGCTGACTTCAGAAAATCTTCAGTCTAAAATTTTTTTGTGAATTCTACATGTCTGACTTTTGCAAGAGAGCTAAATAGTTATTTTGTTTTTTCAGATGGTTTGTTTAGCATACAGAGATACACATACATATGAGTCCTCTAAAAACAGCAGTTTATAATGATATCCAGTAGCAGACCAGGCAGATAAGCAATTCTGAAGCTAGTAGATAGAGTACATTCTGATGTGACACTTGTAGGCAAGGTTATCATAAGAAGGGAGAACTCAAGTGAGAAAGGATGAAGGCCAATGAGATCAGCTCTGGGATGAAGGGGAAAGGTAGAAAATCTCAACACCAGCCAAACAGAACTCTTATTAAATTTGTTCTCCACTCAAGTGGCAGGTCACAAGATAAAACTAAGAATTGGTATCTTTTGTCATTACATTATCAAATTGGCAGAGTGGCAACATCCTCAGTTTTGGAGTTGGGGAAATGTCTTTTTTTTTATTGCTTTGTTGGAGAATCTGCTGTTTTGTGGAATTATTTTCTAGAAACTCCGTTTGCCTACATTCCCACCTAAATCATTATTAATGTTTTTTTCCATGTGCCCATAACAATACACAAGGTCTGAAATGATAATTTTTTTCAAGAAAGGATGATTTTGAAAATACCACATTCATATGAAAACTGTAAAAAAATTTCTAGGGTATGACACCATCTTCAAGAGAATGAGAGGTTATCTGTTGACTTGTTGAATGATTCCTCAACACCTACCATGTGCCAGAGGTGGTCATTAGCAAATTCTCTGAAGGAACAGTGGATAAAAAGAACTAAAAGCTGTGATGCTTACCTTGTCAGAAATGTATAGTTTTCTTGGGAAGAAAACAGAGCTAGCCACAGGGGAAGGAAGTTGCAAAATGAGAAGGAGTAGATGAGTAAAATCAGAGATGGGAGCAAGCACTCTGACTTTTGGCTGAGAATATCTGCCAATTTCGCTTTACATATGAAGACATATTTACTTTGCACAGTCTTGCAATCTGTAATATTGCAAAACAAAGTGAGGTTTTCTTCCTTGTATTTTAATACTCAACAGGATCTCTGCCTTATTTGATTTAACTGTTACAAATTCTTAATATGGTATTGTAGCATCATTCTCAGAACATATTTCCACCTGTGAATATGATTCCTAAGGTCAGGAAATTAGATGTTGACATATATGAAAAATGAGAATTATAACCAAATGAAAATTAGAAAGATTCCATACCCTGGAAAGGAAGATATGCTTTATATAAGTACCTGGCTTTATTTTAAAATCTGCACTACTACAAATGACTCTTTCTATATGCTTACATATCTATGTATTTAATATAGGTTGTGATATATACTACAAAAAATAAAAAAATGACCACTATGAGAATTTTTAATTTGTCTTCTACATTCCAATTTCACAAAAATATAAATGATAATTGATATTTATGCTTTGACAGTCTTTTGCCAATATTATTATTTAAGTCTTTAAGCAGCAGGGTTTTAAAGTTGCTTAGGAAGGTTTTTTTTCTTAATTCAGATTTTAAGCCAAATCAAATGTCAAAATTGACTGAAATGGTGATGGATTGTTTATTTGTCTTTTGTGGAAGGCATTTTCCCCTCTAAAGATGATCTGTCTTATCCCCAGAACTGTGAATATGTTGTTACGTGGCAAAGAGGAATTATGGATGCAAATGGAATTCAATTTCTTAATCAGATAAATTTAAGATGGAGAAATAACCCTGGATTATTTGGGTGGTCCTATGGAATCACAAAGACCTTCAAAAATGGAAGAGGGAGGCAGAATGGAATGTAAGAAGGAGATGTAACTATGGACAAATGATATAAGAAATGCAATGGTACTGGCTTTAAAGAAAGTGGAAAGGGTCTCAGAGGTTGTAAAAGGCAGTGAAACAGATCCCCTCATACAGCCTCCAATGTCAATGTCTTGTTGTCTGCCCAGTGACATCTGTATTGGGCTTCTGACTTATAGTGCCATAAAATAATACATTTGTGTAGTTTAAAACCATTGAGTTTGTGGTAATTTGTTCTTACAATAAGTTGGAAAAGATTATATCTTGAAATTGATAAGTTTTGCCCACTCAAACTTGTGTTAATAAAATTCAAGTATTAGTTTCTACTTCTGACCATGTAAGTAACAGAGTTCAGAATTACCTTACTTCCATAAATAATGAGAAAATTAGATGAAATGTATGGGGGAAAAACTCCAGTTTTTAAATGTGAGACATAGGAAGCATAGGGCAGTGGCATCCAAGAGGAGGAAAACAAAGTAAGCCCCATATTCATACCAGTTTTCTGCTGTAGATATCAGAATGCCAAATTCAATAACCCTTCCAATTGATGTGAGCCCATATATGCCAGGTTTATATAATGTAAAGATGGAGGACCCCCCCCACACTACTGCCGCACCAAATACATATCATCACAATATTGCTGAGTTGAGGAGACTGGAGAAATCGAGATGGCTGAAATTTGTGGAGCAAGACAACAGAGAGAAGGGAACTGTACAAAGAAAGAACAATAAAAATGTTTGTAGAGATGTACATGCATTTTTGGCTGAATAATAACTTGTACATATATAGGGTAAAACCTCATAAGGCTGGACAATAAAAACTTCTAAGAAATAAGCAATCATATAGGAGTGCTATGATTTCAAAGTAGTTTGTCTTCCAGGGATTCAGGTGTTGGAGGCTTAGTCTTCAGTGTGGCCAAGCTGAGGTATTGGAACTTAAAGGTTCTTAAAAGAGGCAAGGTCTAATGGAGGTCTTTCAATCACTTGGGATATGCCTTCAGATGGGTTTAGCATAGTTCTCTTGGGACCCTAGTTAGCCTTCAGTTACTCTTTGGCTTCCTGTTTGGCAGCAGAATCTCTCACTCCTGCTTGCATATGTTCCTGCCATTGTGGTGCCATCCTCCATGATGGCCTTACTAGAGCTGAGTTGATCCTGGTGCCATGCCCTTGAACCTTCAGAAATGTGAGGTAAATATACCTCTTATCTTTGTAAAGTTGCTCAGCCTCAGATTTTTTATAGTAACAGAAAGTTGACTAATAGTAAGGGAGCTATAAGCTGAACCATCACCTCAGTTCACACAGTAATAGAAATTGTTCACAACAGTGCAAGTAACAGATCCTTATTAAACACACTTGATGCATTATAGAGACTCAAGAAGGTATACATCTTAGTAGCAAGACTAAATTAAGTAAAATAATGGCTCTCCTAGGCCTATTATAAAAAAGAATAAAGACAAGTATACTAAAAAACAAACTTATTCACAAATAATTTATTTATTTTTATTAAAGACCAAACTCTTTATAGGAATATAACAAAATCCCACGCTCGACATGTAACATTCAGAGTGTCTAGAATGTAATACAAATTATTACACTTAGATGATTAAACAATGAACTAGGGATGCTAAAACAGCTATTCTAAATATGTTTAATATGCATGGATTTAAAAGAGTAGATAAGTACAGAGAGAGAGAGAGTGAGAGAGATGTGAAAGAAATCAAATACAACTTCTAGAATTGAAAACTGTAATATATTAAATGGAAATTTCACTGGCTAGAATATCAGTAGATTTAACACTAAAGTGCAAAAAGGTCAGTGACCTCAAAAAATTGCAATAAAATTTACCTGAAAGTAGAAACAGAGGGCAAAACATCTCTAAAAACAATAAGATAGCATCAGCAGTTTAGGGACAAGATTAAGTGGTTGAATATATGTATAATTGGAGTTCCAATAAACAAGGAGGAGAAATAAAAATATTTGAAGAAATAATGTTTAAAAAAATTTCTAATATAATGAATTTCATATATATATGAAAATTATATCTACTGTACTCATCTTCTCTTTTAAATCCATGCATATTAAGCATACACACTCACGCACATGCACACAGATCCAAGAAACTCAAGGAAAAACCCAAGATAGATACCAAATAAGCATAAAACCCACTAAGAAAACTACACATGGAGTATCATGAGCAAATATTTGAATTTCAGTAATAAAGAGAAATAAAAGTGGCCAGAGTGAAAGGATGTACTATCTACTGAGGAACAAAGAATTAATGCAGACTTCTCAATAGAAACCATCCAAGCCAGAAATCATTTGAACAGTGTTTTAAAGTATTAAATAGAAAACTTTGTTAAATTAAAATTCTACATCCTATGAAAATGTCCCTCAAAAATTAAGTTGAAATATGACTTTTTCAGATTAATTGAAGCTGAAACAATTCATGAGCAACTCACACTACAAAAAATATTCAGGGAAGTTCTTCAGATCAAAGGAAATTATGTCTAATGCAAACTTGGATATACAAATGAATGAAGAGCACTGGAAAAGGCAAATATGTTGGTAAATATACATGACTTTTCTCATGTTAAGTTACAGTTTTATTGATATCAGACAAAGTGAATTTCAGGATAATGAATATATTCAGAGATGAAGAGGAAATTTTCACAAAGATTTCATCAAGAAGACATAAAAATATAATAAATGCATATGGACTTTATAATAGAGATTGAAAGAATTAAAAGGCAAAATGATAAATCTATAAAGCTGTATATTTCAATAATCTGTCAGTAATTTCAAGGACAAGTAGATATTTACATGATTAAAACAAATATATCAAAAACTTGACACAATCAACATTATATAATTCTTTATTCATTAATTGTAGAATACACATTATTTTTCAATGCACACAGAACATTCACCAAAAAAGATCATATGCCGGGCTAAAATAAAATCACAAAAATAACCTAAAAGAAGGAAGGAAATGAAGGGAAAAAAACCCAACAAAAACAAAGAGAAAAAATAACAGTAAAATGGTAGATTTGAATCAATAATTACAATAAATGTAAATGGTCTAAACATTCTAATTAAAAGCAAGACCCAACCTTGTGCTGTCTACAAGAAACTCCTTTTGAATATAAAGATACACATCAGGTCAAAGTAAAAGCATGGAGAAAAATGAATCATTTGAATACTAATTAGAAGAATGCTGGTATAGCCAATGTATACATGTATCAATAGTATTGTTAAAAAATTGCTTTAAAATTTGATCATATATAAGAAAATGAGTTCATCCTTCCCCCTTAACTGTTTAACTTTTAGACAGCTTTACTTTTTATTTGTATCTGGTTTAGTCAAGGAATGCAAGGGGGCCATAGCATCAGGTTTCTTGTAGCTTCAAGTTATACATCTGAATCTTAGATCAGTAAATATCACTTGTAGGTATTATTCATTGAGCAGTTCCCCAAATACTCAGAAAAATCACAAGGGCTATTTTATTAAGTGGTAAAATTATTTTGCATATAAGTGGGTTCAGTAATAAATTTTATTTATTTATTTCATTTGTTATTATTTCTTTTGAGATACATTCTCTTTTTATCTACCAATTGACTTCATATTAGTGTATTTTTACCTTTATGCCTATAATTGAGAATTGGATTCACTTTCCTATATCTAATTAACTAAGATTAAAGTAGTATCCAAAACAGCCTGTTTGGAAGAATAAGACTTTCAAGCAAGTGGGATTAATAAAAACAAAGCATAATTAGCTTTTACTTGCAATGATAAAACATTGGTTAAAACTACTCTCCATCATCTAGTAAAATACTACTTGTATGTAGAACACCAACAAGCATCCTTTCAAGAGACTTTGATAACTCATTAAGCATTTGCTAAATGAGATCAAGAGTCTTAGTAAACTGAATCCCCCCAAAACCACTTACATGAGCTTTCTTCCCTTGAGAGAATGTAATTACTTGAAATTATGGCTCAGCTGGTGATGACTGCAACGGTACTATCTATCTTCCTATAGCATGCAAGTAAACAAATATTTGCATTTTGTTGAACCCAAATCTGAAAGGTCCTTAAAATGTAGGCTGGGATACTTAAGCATTTTTTTTTTTATTATTATATGGGCTAAACCCTTTGAACCATAGAGTACAAGAATTTTAGATTATAATATTAAATAATGAAAGTACACAAGGTGTGAATGTAAAGTAATAAATCCTTGGGGCTTATCATTCCTTTCCTTCTTTCTCTGACAACTTCGTAGCACAGGAGGCCCTGATTTCCAGCTTCATCAAGGAAGAGGCTATATATGAAATTTGAAGGACCCTTTAATAGTAAGAGGAAACAATAGTCACAAAAACTTAGCTGATTTTGACTGGGAGAAAAAGTTGGAGCCCTCTCATAGAATGAGGCTTGAGGAAAGGTGACTTTCTCAGTGCCTGACCCAATATAATTAATTTGGAATTGGATGTTCCATATTAGACTTTCCTTGCAATGTCTTGAGCTTTAATTATCAGGCTCTTTACCCCTGAGTAAGCCTCTAAAAGAAAAAGTAGTGCTGTGTGAGTATATGTTTAACAACTGTTTTTTGAAAAGAGCCTGATTAGTAGCATTTGCTTATATTTATGTGTTAATAATCCTACCAAAGCAGATTTTAAAATATTGAAGTGAAAAGGACTAAAGGCAAAATTGGAAAGACATGTATCCAGTTGACTCTAGCCCAGCACTGGCTCCATGTAACAACTCTAAAAGGAAATGTTGATAGAGGAACCTTAACCAATTTGAGGAATCATCTAGCACCTCCCTAATAGAAAGGTGCCAACTAATGCTAAATATGAACAGTAGTTCAATGCACAGGATTCTAAACTGGGATCAGAGAATGAAGTCTAAGGACAACACTGTATATTATGAGGACTCCAGAAAGTCCAGGGTTTTTTTAAATTTTTTATTTTACTTGTAATTCTTTAAGAGTTGGAGCTTAGAAATCACTAAAAACTTTTTCTCTTCCCCTCTTTTTTCCAGTGCTGCAGATAGAACCCAGGATCTTGTGCATGCTACTCCTGCATGCTACCTATTGAGCTACATACTCAGACTCTTTTTTTTTTATACTTGCAAAGACAACTTTTTATTTAAGAAATAGTTTTCAATGAACAAATAATTACTTCATCTCTGCTCCATGTTGGGCCCTGAAGTAAAGGCTGAAATTGACACAATAGAAATGGTGTCTGCTTTCATATACCTTAGAATATAGAAAAGAGAACTTTTTTTTTTTTAGCTGCAGATAGACACAATATCTTTATTTATTCATTTATTTTTTACGTGATGCTGAGGATCAAACCCAGTGCCTCACATGTGTGAGGCAATCGCTCTACCACTGAACCACAGCCACAGCCCTCAAAAGAGAACTTTTAATATTTAGGATCAAAAGTAAGTGTTATAAAAGGCAGGAATATAATTCATAAAGCAAAGAAGAATTACCATTCCTGAGAAAGTAATGTCGGAGGGGCATCTTTTAATTTACTTATTTCAGCAACCAGCAAGTAGGTTCAGGTTCAGTCTTTCTTCCTGGCCACACCTGTTTTTGCACTCTGTCCATGCTCCTATTCTGCAATTGCAATTCTGTGTATGAAATTTACTTTACATGGCATCCTTGAAATCCAAATTTCTCCTGGTTTGCTAGAGCTGGGTTGCTGTTTTGGACTATAAGTGAGTTTCTCAGAAGTAATCCAATGAACTCTAAAAAGAATCACTCACTTCACTAGGATTGTTGAGATGTTCCAAGGGCATGTTGGAATAAGCCATTTATCCACAAATCACCCCTTTCAAAAAGATAATTGAGCCAATAATAATATTTATTCTGCATTAGTGGTCTAATCTGAGGAAGGACAACTGAGTGGTGGCACACAAAAATCAAGCCTAGTAGAGGATGGATGAAAAAAGAGGGCCCTGGGGTATAGCTGAGGTCTGTAAAAATATAGTTCTAGGGATGTGTGTGTGTTGTGATATTGTGTGTGTGTGGTGTGTGTGTGTATGTGTGTGTGTATGTGTAAAGGAGGGATTAAGAATAGGGATTAATAGGTAGAGAATTTAGTGGAGGGCTAGAAGAAAGGAAAACAAAGGTGGTAGTTGGCCAGGAGGCCAATATTAGTCAGTAAAGTCTCCCTACTTTGTGAGCTAATTATTAAATAATTATGTGAGCACTAGACAGTTGACAGTGATTTTCTGTAAATTCTCTAATTTCATCCTCAGTATAGCCTTATCATCTTCTTAAGTTAGTTTAGGTAGTAGTGAGATATGCATGCTTACTGATGAAGAAAGTGGGGTTCAGCAGGTTTATGTGTTGTCTTCCCGGATCACAGAGCTGGCCTAAGACCAAGTAGACCAAGGGTTGACAAAGTAGTTTTCAGACTAAATATGGCCCACTATCTGTTTTTATGAGTAAAGTTTTATTGGTCCTTTTATTGTTTGGTTTTATTGGTTTCATTGTATACTAGTGTCTGTGTCTGCTTTTCACCAATGACAGTAGAGTTGTTCAGTGAAGACAGAAGTTTCAACGGAGATTGTACACAAGCCCCACTCAAGTCTCTGCTATCTAGCCCTTCATAGAAAAAAAAATCTGCTGATGCCACCTTTAGATTTCAGATACCACTGTGCCAGCTCAGTCAGTCTGATGCCAGAAGAGTATATGATGCCAAACAGCATGACTTTATCAGAGCATTAATGCTGCTGGTGCAAAAACAATACCAAAATAGAGCCTCAGTAATGGCTAACATTCCTATCATTAGTCACTTCTGGAGGTTAAGGCATGGAGGGTCTCATTTAAGATATTATCCAGGGAAAAAAGGGAAGATGATAATGTCTTTATCAGCTTGCAGTATTCTACCAAATAATTGATTTACTTATTAATCAAAGGGCAGCAGTTCCTAAATGTATGAGACATAAGATGAAAAGTCTTGGTAGGAGGCTAGGTGTGAACTGAAACAGCATGATATGAATGAAAGACTCCACTAATCCTGTGTTTCAACTCAATTTTTGATCATTACCAACATGTGGTCTCATCAAAGCTGATTGGACTAAATCAACCATATGTAAAACAGGTGTAATAACAGTACCCATCATCTAGGAGTATTGTGAACATTAGAAATTGTTCACCTAATGTGTTTAACACAAAATGAAGACACAATAATATATGGTGGTAACAGTTATCATAGGACCAGTAGTATTTGCAGTAGTGGCTGTTACTAGTAGTAACAGTAGCAGCAGGAACACTTGTTGCCCTGAAGCATTAGTAAAGGAGTACCTAGTAACAGAGAACTCTGGAACTTTCTGAGTCCTCTGTAAGATAAAAGGCTACACTTCAATTTGGGAACAAGGTAGCTGAACACTCATTTAGTTGTGGTTGGCAACCTACTTCTTAAAGGCCAGAGTATGGTTTGGTCCCATTTGGGTCTCTACCCTCTTCACAGCGCCCATGTGTACAGAAAATGCTTAGTGAATGTACCCATAGATTCAATTAAATGAGATTTGCCCTTGGAAAATCATGATCTGATTTCTATACCTGTGTTTCTAGAAATGGAGCCACAGCAGGTCCACTCGTGTTTCAAAGGCTTCCTTACATCATTGCCTTTCCTGCAGTTCAGGGAAGAATGGCACCAGGTAGGCTCAGGCTGGTAGTTTCAGGTCTTACGTTTGTTTGTCAGAGCACTAGAAAAATGAATTAGTAGCTAACTTTTAAAAATGGAAAGACTTTAAATAAAAACACAAATTTTCAACTTCGAAAAATTGGAAAATCTGGCATCACTGAACTATCATGTGCTTACACATGTTGGCAAAAGGTAGCAGTTGCTCTGCTTTAAGTTATATTTATATTCTTCATCACAGGGCTCCAGGCTCATGTTCAAGGGGCTACAAACGCAGGTGCCTAGAGGAGACAGGCAGGTACAGTGAGTCAAAAGGAGTCCTGGTGACTGATGGACTGCAGTACTCTACTTAAAACTGGTCGGTCAGCCTGTATTCAGATCCAGTCAATTAATGCCAGCTGAGAATAAGGACCTAGAGTTTTAGTATCCTGTTTTCCAAGAAAAGTTTAAAATCCAAATTTTATATTTAAATCTTCACATTTTTAAAATATGGTGATTACATTTTTTTGAAAAATGCTGTATGAGCAAAATAAAACATATGCAAAAGCCAGTTCTATCTTTCTGCCTACACAAGGCTGCAAACTGTGCATGAACCTTCTGATAATTAGCACCTAGTGTGCAATGGGCAAGGGACATTTTAATGCAGTCATTTTGAAAATGTGGCCACTTTGGTATTCAAATTGACCCATTTCGTAATCCCAAAACAAAATATGAAATATTCAGCTTTCAAAAAATTATCAAGTGATACTTTGTACCAAATGTTCTGTCACATCCCTGAATCTTACATTATCTCAGACCCACACCATCATGGATAGCCCATTCCCTCCTTTCCTTCCACTCCAGCTCTGAGGCTCACTCACAGGCAATGCATGAACACGGGGTGAAATTGTAATGTATTTATGTAAACATGTTCAATTTATGTAAATAAGAACATTTTATTGAAAACTTTTTGGTTGGTATTGATCAAATGAGCTATTTAATAAAATGGAAAATTTCCAAATTTCTGCATGTTAAGACCCATTTTGTCAATCAGAAAACATGGCTCATTATTTTTCTTTCATTTCTGTTTTCCATTTTAATGAACAAACAAAATAAAATAAAATATGGGAGTTTTGTCTATGGTGTACAAATAAACCAGACTAACCTGTGGACAGTTTCGTCTACTCTGGTGGGCTGTGTCATGATTCTGCCAGCCACAATTTTACTTACCCTCTGACATTTGTTGGGAGAAAGAGAGAAAATGGCCAGGGGTAGGGTGGGGGAATAAAGGTGGAGTAATGGAACCTAATTACACAATGCTTTATAGTAATATTTTTTTTAAAGAAAAAGGGTTTTTATTTGTTTTGTTTGTTTGTTTGTTTTGTACCTGGGATTGAACCCAAAAGCACTTTACCACTGAGCCACATCCTCAGCCCTTTTAAATATTTTGTTTAGAAACAGAGTCTTGCTAAGTTGCTGAGGCTAGCTTTGAACTTGTGATCCTTCTGCCTCAAGTTTTGACTCTCAGATCCCATCAAAACACTGCTTCACTGGGATGAATTTCTCAGTCTGACATGTCTTTTGTTACTTTTGCACAATGTAGGAATTCAAATAGTGATTATCACTTCAAATCGTGAAATATTCTGATTTTTTGAAATGTTAGTAATTAATTTTTAAAACATACTTAATAAAATTGCTCATTTAAAGTAATTTCCCTGAAACCTCATCACTGATCTTTTGGAAAGATCAATTATTCTTTGTTCTTCCTAGATGGGTTTAGTGATTGTCTCTTCTCTAAATTTTTCTCTTGACTATTGTTAATTCATTAGCCTCATTCTCTTTTCACTACTGGTGGAAGTTAATATGAAGCCATATAAGTTCTCTATCTCCTAATTGGAGACAACTTAGAACTTTCTTTTGTTGCAGCAATGAGTTTGGATATGGAACTCCAAGAATTACCTAGGTGGTCATAAAGTGTTTTAGTCAGCTTTTTTGCTCCTGTGACTATAAGACCTGACAAGAACAATTAGAAGTGGAAAAGTTTATTTGTGGGCTCACAGTTTCAGAGGTCTCAGTCTATAGATAGCCTACTCCATTCCCTGGAGCTCAAGGTGAGGCAGGACATCATGGCAGAAGGATGTGACAGAAGAAAGGAGCTCAGGACATGATCAGGAAGCAGAGTGCTAAACTCATCTCACATAATATATACCCCAAAGACACATCCTCCAGCCACATGAACCTGCCTACAGTTTCAATCAAGTAAATCCCTATTGGGGCATTAATGCATTGATTATGTTAAACCTCTTATAACCCAGTCATTTCATCTCTAAACTTTCTTTGCATTGTCTCACACATGAGTTTTTTTGGGGACACCACCACATATTCAAACCATAACATAAAGAAAAACAAATCTTCTATTTATTTTATTTTGTGAATACTAGGGATTAAATCCAAGGGCTTGTGCATGCTAGACAAGTGCTCTGTCACTTGAGCACATTCCCGGTCTTTTTAAAATTGCCAAGGCTGGCCTTGAACATGTGATCCTCCTGCCAAAGCTTCCTGAGTAGCTGTGATTATAGGTATGTGCTACCACACCTAGCTAAGAAAAATAAAGCTCTTGGAGCTGGGTGTGGTGGCGTGTGCTTGTAATCCCAGCAGCTCTGGAGGCTGAGACAGGAGGATTATGAGTTCAAAGGCAGCCTCAGCAATGGTGAGGTGCTAAGCAACTCAGTGAGATCCTGTCTCTAAGTAAAGTACAAAATAGGGCTGGGGATGTGGCTCAGTGGTTGAATGCCCCTAAGTTTAGTCTCCAGTACCAAAAAAAAGAAAAAGAAAAATCTCTTTACCCACTCTTTCTTAAAAGTGTTCATCACCATTAAGTATAATCCTTTGGCATAAATTTTTTAAAAAAGACAACTGAAACAACTAAATTAAAAAGTTTTGTTTATTATTGCACAGAAGAATGTTTTAGTTACCTAATTTAGAAAGACTACTGGGCCTCACTCAGGAAGGGACCAGAACTAGGCATTGAATACATGCCACTCTTATCTCCACATTTTTCTATGCTTCTGTCTCCTACTTTCTCTTTGCAGCCAACCTCATGTTTCTCCAGGACATGGAGAATGACCTAGCTCCAGATGACAAACACTGTAATTCTGCCCATCCTCCAGTCCTCTACCATCCGTAGGAGCTAGCTTGTTGCCATGGTCACAAGTCCACATTCCAGGAGACTCTACTCATATAATCTATATCCACAGAGCAGTGGGGGAGACCATCCTAAAGCAAAAGTCAGACCTTCTTATGCTCTAACCATTGCAATAACTTCCCATCCCATTCAGAGTCAAGGCCAGTCTTTGCATAATGTTCCAAAGCCCTATAAACTCCTTCTAAGATTTCCAGATTCTTTCCCCTTTGCTGACTGGGCTCTACACACATTGGCTTCTTTGTTATTCCTTAAATATTCTAAGTGTGTTCTGAGCTCACACTTTTGCCTGTGCTGCTCCCTTTACTCGGAGCCCTGTCCTTCTTGTATCTGAATGCCTCTCTTCTTCACTTCTCTGTGCTCAAAATGCATCTTCACAAAGCAGCTTGCCTCGTCATTCTTTCTAAAATAATACTTCAGCCTCCACTCCCTGTTCCCTTCAGCCTCCACTCCCTGTTCCTGCCTCAGTTATCATCATGGTACCTGTCACTATCTGACACATTATATTTCTATATATTTCTTTATTTTCTTTGTTTCTCTTCTACTAGAATGTAATCCCCAAGAAGACAGAGACCGTTTTGTTCATCGCTCAATCTCTCGTGCTCAGTGCGATACTTTTTTCATGATGGGTACTCAACATATATGCTGGAAGAGTAAATGAGTAAACGAATGAATGACTGAACGTGATCCACAGCATCTTTTATGGTCCACTTACTTTTAACATCACTTTCCAGTCTCCTCTCTTGCCACTTGCCACCACTCCATGTCCTCATAGTGTTGTGTGACTTCTCATTTGTCACAGTTCTAACTCTGCATTTATTTGTGGGGTTATTTGATAGCCCAGCCTCAAGGGTAGAAGGGTAGAATAGTATCCATTCCTTCTAGGTGCTCAGTAAATATTTTTTTCTTATGATTAATTGAATATAGACCCAAGTCCTAGTAATAGACCTATAGCTAATTTTCTTTGTAGCTCTGGACAAATCAGTGTTGTTCTCTGGCTGTCAATTTATCTAACAGTCAAATGGAGGAAGCTGGTCTTCCAAGGTTCGTTTCAGCTTTCCTTTTTATCTCTCTCATTTTTAAAAAAAAAAATATGAATGCAGCCATACTCAATGTTTGCCTTCTGGGTTAGGTGAGTGGAATCTAGTGAATTCAAAACGCATCCTGCAAGCTTAGTGAAATAAGATGTTTTCCTTGTTCTTGGGCCTAGATCATTTTATAAGCAAAATCTACCTTCTGAATTCTTCATCAAGATCTTCTTTCTTCTCTTTCTCTGATGTTTTCTCCTGGGAGGACACAGACATCATAAAGCCTGTTTAACAAGGAGTAAGGTCAGATGAGTCGTAGCAGAACCACGCTGGAGTTTGCTCCCAACCCTGGCTGTTCCACAAGTCATGCTGCCTCTTGACTAAGGGTTGATCCCTTTGTGGCTTGTCTGTTACCTCATTTATTTCAACATAGAATGCTGAGGACCCTGTTTGTTTTAAGAGGTTCATTATGGGATCAAAGAGACTATATTCCTGCCTTAATGAAATAGGTTCCAAAAAAGGCATTTTAGGGAAGAATAGTTTCCCAATTAAAGTCTTAGCTCCTACACTCAAGTCTTGGAACTTTAAGTTTCATGATTGATTTCAATTGAGAATTGAGGATTAGTTGGAAAAGAACTGATCCCTTCCAAACCCCAAAGTCTATGATAAAGGAGCTGAAACCTTAAAGAAACTGAGTGAATTATCTGGGATTACACAACTAGTTAAGTGCAGAACTGGGAATAAAATCCTGGCCTGATTCCTTGCCTAGTGTGTTCGTAGGCACACTTAGGTTCCTAGGAAACTCTAGGGACCTAGCATCAGTTGTCTAAGTTGATGAGGTGGGCATGACTAAGTCAATGCAAATCAGCCCTCCCACCACCGAATTCAGTACTGAATTTCAAGGCCCCACATCACAGCGTGGGGTGTTCAATTATCTCTATTTTTAAGTTTTTGAGAGTCAGATTGTGTTACAGACCAATCTGGGATAGTGGAGGCAGGGGATCAGCACCCCAAAACCCATTTCAAATTCAAGGTAAATTGACTGTCTTCCCTTCTGATGGCTCTTTAGTTTGAGATTTTCCCCTCATGTTTCAGAGACACTCTACAATGAATGCTCTTGTGTGCAAAGCTGTTGGTTCAAGGCCAAGTGGGTCAGAACAGATTGCCTTAGGAAAAATATGTGTTCAATCAGAAGGTTCTCATCTCGAATGGAAGAGTAACCTGAGGACTTGGTGGGCGGCTTTTCTTTGAGAAGGAGCAGTAGGACTCCAGGTGGCACTTGATCAAGTGTATTTATAGTATGACACTAAAAAATCCTGAACGTCTTTGATGCTGAGAGATCCATTGTGTGTGGGTGTTAAGAAAGTGGGTTCCACTGTAAGATGACATCTCCACTTACTAGCTATATGTTCTTAGATTGGAAGCTAAATCTCTTTTGCCTCAGTTTCTATGATGACAAGTGGAAATTTAAAAATAACATTCATCACAGACAGCTGTGAGTTAAAACTCACACTTAAAATCACTTAAAAGTGACTTAAAACATACATGGTACTTTGGATCATACCTGCACATAAAACATAGAGCAACTATTTTTTGTCATTATAGTTGCTGGTATGCTTCCTTCTCCTTCCTGTTTCGGCATGGAATCATGTCAGTGGTGGGAGGTCTCTTGGAGAGTTGCCCCGTCCCCAGGATCTGCATGACAGATGCCACAGTGTACAGAGATGTCATGGTGGAGAGGCGTTGGGAATACATCTCCTCAAATTCTTTTTCTGCCAGGAGAAAATGAATATTTCCCCTCTCATGTATTCTTTTCTATCTTCAGGATTGTGGTAGACACAGAAGTGGGTCATCTATATCTTTCTTCAAAGGATTTGTCACTCTAGTTATAAGAAGATGTCCTCCAGATGTCAGCTGTTTGCCACAAGGGGCCAGCTCACCAAAGGCTATGCTCTTCCTGGGGCATCCCATATTTAATGACTGATTGAAGTACTGATAGTAGGAACTGACCATTTTTCCCCAACCTGGGACACTCTGAGGGCCCACATACTTTGCTGCAATCCTTCTGGCATTAGAGAGATTTTATTGGCCTGTGTCACAGTTTGACTTCTGCTCAAACCCCCTCTGTAGCCTTAACTACACAGAGCTTGATCCCTGATACATACTTTTGTTCGTTTTAATGCTTTTATTAGTGTATTATAATTATACAGGAGAGTTGGGTTAATTTTCACATAATCATACATATATGGAATTTAATTTTCTCCATTTGAGTCTCAAATGCCTCCTCTTTTCCTTCCCCCTTCCCTTCCTATAATTCTATTCCTCTGCTCTACTGGTTTTTCTTCTATTTATTTGTATTTTAATTGGTGCTTTATTGATACAAATAAAGGTGGAGTTCACTGGGATATATTTACACAGGTACATAGTGTAATTTAGTCAAATTCCTCCAGTGTTTGCTCCTCTTCTCCCTCAATCTTCTTCTATTCTGTGGCTCTTCTCTCTATCCTTATAAAATGGACCCCACCCCCTTTATTCCCTTACTTTGCTCTATCTTCCACATATGAGAAGAAGCATTCAACCTTCATTTTCTGAGTCTGGCTTATGTTGCTCTAGTATGATGTTTTCCAATTCCATCTATTTACTGGTAAATGTCCTACTTTCATTATTTTTTTTAAGGTGGAGTAAAACTTCACTGTGTAAGTATTACCACATTTTCTGATTTCATTCCTCTGTTGACTGGCAACTGGGCTGGTTCAATTACCTGACTATTGTGAATTGTGCTGCATAAACATTGATGTACCTATACCTGACCCATACTTTGAATGCAAACTCTATTTTGACTTCTGCAGAACCCACTCTCTGACAATTGACTCTCAAAGGATGTTACTAACATGTAAAAAGAGTTTGGTATCCACTGATAAACTGAAAATTGGGAAAATGATTTGATCTTCCAGGGTCTCAGTTTCCATATCAAAAAAAATGCAGGTAATTATTTTTAACTTGCAAAGTTGTGAGGATTAAGGGAAATGCTAATGTGCCAAGTTCATAGAAGTGAGGTATGTAGTACAGATTCTCTCCATTTTACATTCTTGTTGTCTTCAATTTTCTTTCTTCTCTTCCTTTGCATAAATTGTTGAGAGTTTTATTTTCTTTTATCTATTATGTTCCTTTCCCTCATCCTTTCTTGTCTTTCCATGTGCACCCTCCTTTTAATTGCACACGTAATTGTGCAGGTGATGGATTTTGAAATGATGTGTACACACATGGATCTATTGTAATCAAAACCGACAACAAACTTTCAGCACTACAAAAAGTAGGCTTGTACCTCTCCCCATTCAATTCCCGTCCTGCAACCTGAGCATAGGTAACAACTGATCTGCTTTGTATCACCATAGATTGAATTTATCTTTTTAGAGTTTCATGTGAATATTATCTTACAATATGTCCTTTTTTGTTTCTGTCTGGCTTTTTTCTCTCAACATAATGTTTCTGAGATTATCCAGGTTGTTGTGTACTTTTTATTGCTGTGCAGTATTCTATTGTGTGAATGTATTACAATTTGTTTCTTCATTTACCAGGTGTTGGACATTTGGTTGTTTCTAATTTGGGGTTATTATGAATAAATCTGCTATGAACGTTTATGTACAAGTCTTTGTGTGGATATATGTCTTTTTTGGGGGGTAAATATGTAGGTGTAGAATTACTGAGTCATATGTTAAGCATATGTTCAACTTTATAAGAAAATGCCAGTAACATGTTGTATTCCACCAAAAAGCATGCACGTTTGAGTTACTCCACATCATTTCCAACACTTGGCATTGTTAATCTTTTTTAGTTCAGCCATTCCAGTAGGTGTGAAGTGAAAGTATCTCATGATTTTAACTTGCATTTCACTGATGAGTAATGATGGTAAATATCATTTCATTCTTTAATGGCTGTTTATATAACTTTTGTGTAATTTTTTAAATGTTTTGCCCATTTTTAACTGGGTTTTTTGTTTTCTTATTATCAAGTTGTAAAAATTTGGTATATATTTTAGATACAAATTCTTAGGTATATATTATAAATATTTTCTCCTGATTTGTATCTTGCCTTATAATTTTCTGTGTTATTTTTCAAAGTGAAGTTTTAAATTTTGAAAAAGATAAATTTATTCTTTTTTTTCTTCTCTCTCTCTCTCTCTTTGTGGAACTTCCAGTTGAATTCAAGGATACTCTACAACTGAGCCACATCCCAACCTTTTAAAATTTTATTTTGAATCAGGGTCTTGCTAAGTTGCCTAGGCTAGACCTGAACTTGCAATCCTGCTTCAGCTTCCAGAGTCACTAATAGAGTCACTGGGATTATATGCATGCACTGCCATGCCTGGATATCTTTCATGCTCTTTGTGTCTTATCTGAGAAATACTTACCTGCTGTAAATTTGCAAAGACTGCCTCATAATATTTTTTTTCTAGAAGTGATTTTAGTTTTATCTTCCACATTTAGGCATAAAACCCATTCCAAGTCAACTTTTTTTTGAAAAAATTAAGCTATTTTTCTATAAAGGGGTGTGTATGTGTGTGTGTGTGTGTGTGTGTGTGTGTGTGTGTGTGTGTGTGTGTTTATTTATTTATTTATTTATTTTTCCCCCATAAAGATCCCCACTACCCATACCATTGCTATAAAGTCTTTCTTTTCCCCCATGAAATTACTTTGCTATCTTTGACAGTCAAATCTAACATTAGTTTGTAGTTTTTGTTCTTTTATCTATATATGTATCCTTATGCCCTTAATAAAGGCATAAGGAAATAATATGTTTCCTTATGCCCCTGATTGTTGTGACTTATAATAATAAATCTTTAACTAGGTGTGTAAGTACAGTGTTTTGGCTACTACAGATCTATTACATTTCTATATGAATTTTAGAATCTGCTTGCAGATTCCTGCAAAAGTGCATACCATGATTTTGATTGGGATTGCATTGAATTTATTTGGAGAGACTTGACATCTTAAAAATATTGTGTCTTCCTATCCCATGGTATTTCTCTTCATTTAAGTCCTAATTTTTCTTAGTATAGTTTAATTTTTAGCATAATTATCTTGTACCTATTGATAGATTTACTCTTACATATTTTATTTTCTAAATTACATATCTTGATTGTTTATTGACAGTTTGTAGAAAAGCAGTTGATTTTGTATTAGCAGTGCTTGCTGAAATATTGCCAAATTCATTTATTACCTGCAGGAGATTTTTATGTGAAATTTTTAGTATGTGTGCATAGACAATTACATCATCTACAAAT